CTCCGTTTATTACTCATGTATTTCATACCACTTTATAGATCTTTTGAATAGGAAATTTTTGTTTGTTTTAGGTTGATGTAGACTAGATCAAATCAGATGATAAAATATTAACCTTAACTTTCTTTTAAAATTGCATCAGAAACATACAGGGAAGAACTTCAGTTTGGATTACAGATTATGATCTCTTCAAACTTCATCTGCCTTTGGTGTTTGTGGGGCTTGGAAGAAAGCATCTTTCTTTGAAAGCTGAAATTGGATTTTTGAAAACTTAATTTCATAACATTGTTACATATCCCTGACAATGAAGTTATGTCCTGGTTTGAACTAAAACAGAACCAATTCTGTTCTGTGATTTTCTTTTCAGCTCAGTCTCTCTTAAGAGGCTGCACTTTCTGAAGTTAACAGCATGTTTTGTGTCTGCTTCTAGAAGTGGTAACACCTGATGTTTATAGTTACTACCACGGGTTGGTATGTAGAAAAGCTCTTGCTTGTACTTGCTTCTATAGTAACTAAAGTCACTGATAAATCTTTTGTAACATGTTGGTGGTTCCGGGAAGTAATACGATTGCAAGAAAGTGAAAATGTTGCACCACCAGGGAGGAGCAGACAGGATTGGTGGCCCAAAACTGACCAATGAAAGTATTCCATTCCGTGTGCATACTATTCAGTATAAAGCTGAGTGATCATGGGGGTTAATCCCTCTTCTTCAATGGCCAGTGTCCAAGGAAGACTCAGTTCGTTCTTCTGCCCTCAATCCCAATCTGTGAGTTCCCAAATCCCACTTCTGAATCCTGTTTCCATCTCCTGGTGAGTCGGGGACTTCCTGAGTGCCTGCCTGCCCTGCAGCATCTGTTGTGGTTGCCACTGGTTGGGTTCAATATTGGTTTTGCATATATTTGCATATGTTTTGTTATTTCCTTTATTAAACCTATTTTAAAAAAAACAATAAACCTACAGCTTTATTAAACCTATTTTTGTTTTATTTTCCAATCCATAAGTCTCTTTGCCTTATTCCCTTTCCCTTCTTTTGGGAGCAGATGTAATTTGTATAGTGGTTGGCTAAGCCCTGATGTATGAGAAGTTAACAGATGCAAAATGGTTTTTCTTTAACTCAAACACGAGTAGAAAGTACTGCTGTAATGTGAAAGGATTGCTTATTCTGCGTTATATAAAAATTTAGGCCAGCAACTCAGCCTGGATTAATCAGAGTCTTTTCCTCTCAAGTATAAAGGGTTCCACTAGTAGTGAAGAAACTTGGGTTTGCATTGTTTTTCAACTGATTTGTATTTGAATTGTGTTTATGTTGATTTCTTAAAGCTGACATGCCAGGGCTGCCTTTCTGAGGGTTATGATGTGTAGTGTAACATCCGCATTTTACTAAAACAAATTCCTCCATGTATTCCAGCATATCTCTATGTTCCATCTCTCTCAAATAAACCAATACAATGCCAAAATCATAGAAGTCCCAAACATTTCTTGAAAGAAGAGCTATATTAATCTTCATTTTGCACACAGTATTTCTTATTCTTTGAGAATATTTCTTATTCTCTAATCAAGCAGTATTTCTTATTGCTTGATTAAAAAGTCTCTTCACTCTTCTGATAGGTGCTATAGGCCCTGTTATCTGCAGAGCAGAGCTGTGCTGCCAATATCCTAGGGAAGGACTGTTCAACAATGTGGGTTTGAATACAGAACAGCTGCAGCTTTGAAAGGAAGTCCACGATGGATGATACAAAATATGAGAGAAGATTACAGAGTAAGAATTGATGACAGTGATAAATGTTTCAGAAAAAATGGCTATGATATGTGCATAACACATAACATACTACATTTTCCTAGGTTACCTGGGTTTTGCTTGTTGTTACTGTTAAGGGTGGAAGCCCTGCAGTTGCATAATCTTTAGCTGAAGTGATACTATGGCCAGGAGACCATGGTACTGAGACGCAGTATGATGATGTTGGCGCTCACAGTATTTTCCTGCTTTGTTACATCGATGCAATGTTCAGAGGATCTCTTTCCCCTTTGTACTGATATGTTTTCGACACCTAGTGGTCCTAAGTGTAAATTGCTGAAAGTTTGTTAAGGGGAGTACTATTCTACCAGCAGTAAATTCTTGGTGAATAAGTGAAGCAAATCTTATAGCTCAGCCAGAATGGAGTTAAACTTCTGCAAAATTACAGTGAAGGTTTTAAGAAGAAAGTGTAACAGGTACTTTTTGCTCCTCTACCATCCTTTGGTTGAGGAAGAAAAGAAAAGGCTGTCCATGACCCTGTCATATAAAAGCCCTGTGGGGGAGGAATGGACTTGTTCAGTCACATCACGCTGATGCTAAGTAACAGGAAAGACAGAGAAAATGAAGGGCATTGGTAGGAAGGGGGTTAAGAAGTTACAAGAGAAGTTTTTCTGCTTAGTGTTATGTTTTTAAGGATGACTGAAAATTGCAGAAGGATATGACAAGAATAGGCAGAGAAATGGCAGGTAAAGTTAGTTGTACATTAGTGTGAAGCAATGCAGGTGGAGAACAACTCTATAGCACATGTACCCTCTCTCTCTCTTAATTACTTACAGTACACATAACATAATGATGCCACTTCATAAATCTTAAGTTTTGGCGGCACCTTAGTATTTGAAGTTTTGGTATTATCCATATATTTCAAGAGGAAAACAGAACTCAGAAAGCTTCAGCAAAGGTCAAACAGAAGATCGAGCTATCACATATCTTCCACCTGAGAACTGACCTGACCTGGTTAGGACTCTTCAACCTGAAAGAAATTACAGATGAAAGTGCACATGTGTGGTAGATTGACCTTGGCTGACCTCTAGGTGATCACCAAGCTGCTCTATCACTCTCCCTTCTCAACAGGACAGAGGGGAAAATACGATGAAAAAACCCATAGGTTAAGAAGATAAGGACAGGGAGATCACTTACCTGTTACAATCTTAGGCAAAATGGACTCATCTTAGGGAAATTAATTTAATCTATTGCTAATTAATAATAGAGGGACAATGAGAAATAAGAACAAATCTTTAAACACCTTCCCCCCATCCCTTTGTTCTTCCCAGGCTCCACTTCACTCCCAACTCTTCTACTTCCTCCCTCCAAGCAGCACAAGGACAAGAGGAATGGGGGAGACTGTAGCACTTCATCACTGCTGCTCCTCCCTCCTCCTGCTTTCCGCTTGCTTCAGCCTGGGCTCCCTCTCACGTGATAGTCCTTCATCAAACCTCTCCAGTGTCAGTCCTTTCCATGGGCTGCAGTTCTTCAAAAACTGCTCCACCCTCCCACAGTGTGCAGTCCTTCAGGAACAGACTACTCCAGCGTAGGTCACTCGTGGACCACAGGTCCTGCCAGGAGCCTGCATCTGCATGGCCTCTCCATGAGCTGAAACTTCCCTCGGAGCACGTTCACCTGCTCTGGCATGCAGTCCTCTGTGGGCTGCAGTGTTTACATTGGCTCCTCTGTGGTTCTCCACAGAGGCAGCAGAAGGGCAGTTTGCTCCACCGTTGTCTTCTCAGTTGGCTCCAGGGAAATCTCTGCTCTGAAGTAGAGAGCAGAGGTGCCTGGAGCACCTCACCCCCGACTTCTTCACTGACCTTGGTGTCTGTGGGGCTGTTTCACAATTTTGACCCCTCTCTCACAGATGTCGCACAGCTTTTCTTACCCTTTCTTAAATATGTTATCCCAGTGATTCTGCCAGCATCACTGATAGGCTCAGCTTTGGCCAGCAGTGGGGTCCATCTTGAATCCAGCTGTTGCTGGTTCTGTCTGACATGGGGGAACCTTCTATTGTCTTCTCAAGAAGCCACTCCTGTAGCCCCCCTGCTTACCAAAACCTTGCCACATAAACCCAATACAATGTGATAGAGATGTACAAAATCAAGAGTGTGTAGAGAAGGCAGGGGGGAAGATTTATTGAACAGAAGAAACAAAAATGGAGCTTATGGATCCAGGCTCAGAACAAATGACATATAATATCTCTGAAATTCTGTATTAAAATGTGTTGAGGATGCAAAAAGTTTCCATGGCTATAAGGAGAGACCTGCCCAGGTACTTGAGAGATACAGTAGGGCCACTGAATAGTTTACATGCAGCTAATGAATTTCTAAGCTAAATCCTAACTTTTAAGATGCAGGGAGCGTTTTGTGGAGGAAGTGTCATGTATTCCACGCCCTCTTTATGTTCTTGGCCACCACTTAAAAGCAGGACACTGCCTGAATGGACCCTTGATATGAGTCAGTGCAGTCATTTTTCTATTGTAAGGCTAATAGGAAAGAACCAAAGAAGAAGGCTTACTTCCTGAAAAATGTTACAAAGTACATTATTATATCCTGTAAAAGGAGTTAAAGCAATATGTATATGGAAAATATTAAATGGATCATATGGGTTCATATATAACTTTATGTTTGTTTGTTTTTTTTAAAAAATATAATCAGTAATTCCCAGACAAGCCGAACAGTTAGCATATTTTCAATCAGTATTCGTGTAAGCATTGGTAGAAATGTGAAACTGTGTAATGTGGTCTAATGATAAAATTCTTCCTTAAGTTCAGAGTTTGTTCAGACATTAAGGTCCAGGTGTAAAAACTACGTAAACTTAGTACAGAGTTCTCTGGATTGAGGCATTTATCTGTACACAAACAAACTGTTTCTTTTGTACTCACGTATCTTGCTTCTGACTTCTACCTACTAAATGCTTAGATTAAACATTGTAGGATGTATTATGATAAGATACTTTATATACACATATATATATGTCCTTTTCCAAAAAGAACACCCCACACAAAACCTTCCAAAACCAGCAATGCAAATATTTTGAATAAAACAATATGCACTGAGGAGAATGGAAAGTTCAGAAATGATACTACAGTTGATGGTGACTTTTATACATGATCATATAAGGGGCATATCTTTATGTGTGTATTTACAAATACTCTCAATTGCCAGGATTTGCAAATACAACACTTTTTATGTCTCTCCTCTTTCCATGTCTCCCAGGCACAGGTGAAAGTGGCAAGAGTACTTTCATTAAACAGATGAGGATTATTCATGGATCAGGCTACACAGAAGAAGACAGGAAAGGCTTCAGAAAACTGGTTTACCAAAACATATTTACTGCCATGCAAGCAATGATCAGAGCCATGGATACTCTCAAGATACAGTACACATCTAAAGAGAATGAGGTAAGTCAGTACAAAGAGCATTCTAGTTTCAGCCCATGAAGTTTCAGTTTGTACATAAATAATTTGAGTCATAACCTTATTTGAGGCAGATTCCATATATCTGTGGGGAGTTTGGTACCCCACTGTCTGATTCTACAGAGGAACGGGGTGTTTCTAGTAGAAAGAGGGGCTGGGTGAGCGGAGGTGGGATGGAGATGGCTACGGAGGGATAATGTTCAAAGTTGCAAGCTGGTAATAAGTACCCCAAATTTTTTTTTTAAAAAGGGGTTTTTTAAGTTCAAGTTACATAGTTAGACTGTGCGTGACAGTAATATGCCAGCAAAGTCTGGTTTGTCAATAGAGCTCCAGAATGAGAAATTTTGGGTCTACTGTAGGAAAACATCAGATCTGCTTGATGGTGGTATGCTTTGAAACACATGGGTTAGGGCCCTTCTATGAACTTGGTAGCAACCTTTATATAATGAAATAACTTGAAAGTTTGGAATGTCTTCTCTGACCGTTTTTTAGTTTCAATATATGCTATACAATTACATTTTTTATTTCAGTGCTTATGATTCTAGAACTATTAAAAATTAATTCTGCTTCAGTTAAATCAGTTGTATCCTTTGCATCCATCCAATTGCATCAGTTACTCAAGTGTCTTGAAGAATATGCAGGCAAATTATCAGGTGATACTTGTTTTAATCAAGTGGGATTTCCAGTTGGCAAAAATTTAATGTTAAGCTAGGGAAGATTGTGTAGGAAGTATCAAGGGAGAAATAATTTGTAGAATTTATGGGTTTATTAACTGACCTACTATATGAAGAAAATGCAGTTGATAGTCTACTTTTCGTTCAGGAAATGTGATTGTGTATGAACACTAAAAAAAGAAAATTACAATCGGATTTTTTGTTATTTAAGTTGGTTTGTGTTATTTATTCTCCTTAGAGTTATAGAGAAGAGGAATAGAAGATGTTTAAAATAAAGGACTGGAAAATTAAAATTATTTTTTTTAATCACTATAGAGTAGATGGTGTCAGCAAAAGTAAATTTTGCACATGAGAGAGCTAAGGTGTCAGGGTAATTCTTTCCTCTTTAAGACAAATACTGTTTTTAAAAGGCCTTTAAATCCTTAAGAAGGTGGCAGTTACAGAAACAGCAAATGTGATTGTGGGTATACTCCATCCTAATTCAGATGTGTGTATTTTGATGGAAAATTACGATAATTGGAATCTATTTGATGAAATATATTTGTACTGCCTCTTACTGAGTTTTCGGTGGTGGGTTTTTATGTATGTATGTATGTCTTTATTTATTTATTTTCTTCCCATGAACACCAAAATACAAAGGCTTAATAAACAGCAAAGTTTTTCGCATTCTGGGATCTGGGAGCTGAGCTGGATACATTCCCGTAATGCAGTATTCTAGCTAAATTGTGTTCTTGATGATGGCTGTGCTGCCAGCGTCTTCAGATTCGGAAGATTATAATGCAATTTTACAGTTGTTGAAGAGAGGCACAATTTGGTCTTGTGCTTCTTTATTAAAGGTAACAAAGTGTTGAGTGATCACGGTTTGATGAGCTCAGCTTTAGTGGCATTTAGAAAGCAAAGTCATTTTTACTTGCACACAGAGAAACTCTTTAGAGAAAACATGAAAATAACCACACGTCACTCCAGGTACTTTTCAGGAGACAAATGCATTTTAATCTTTCATTTAAGTGATGAATATATGGCAAAGTACTATGAATGTTGTAATTGCCTTTCATTAAATGATCTTAAGCCTGTAATGAAAACCAGTTGACATCAGTGATAAACAGAGCAGTTGCGATTTGTCTTCTTCTGGAAGGTGTGTCCAGTGACCGTACAGAAATCATCAAGTGTGTTCTTCCACATTTCAGAATGTCCATCTTCTCCATGGCATGTTGCCTTTTCTCTGAAAAAAAAAAATGTTTTCCTCTCACCCTTCTATTGTTTTTTGTTTGTTTTTCTTCTATCCAATTTGTGCTTTGACCAGGTCAGGTTTTCTCCTCTATCGACTCAGGAATTCTCTAGTTACTGAATATCTTCACTTTATGTTTTTGTAGTGGAGACTAGATTGTTATGCACCGAGCGTTCCCTTTAAGTGTGATGTATTTGAAAATCCATAACTCATATGTAGACAGAATGTCTAAAAAGGCCTCTTAGTCCACTTAATGTTTGAAAATAAAAGCAAATTTTATAGTAGGTCTTTGAAGAAGTTTCTTACTGCTGTTGTCAGCTGCAAGTATTTAAGTAAATGGTCTGACTATAGATGCTGCATTGAGATGGGAAGGGAAGGGGTTTTTGTTTTATATTGGTTGGAACTTGCTTGGATGAAGAACTCATCTGTATAGTCATGCTTTTACTTTAACCAAACAGGCAATTTTTATATTAATTTCAGTCTGGGTGTTCTTTAGGATGCTGTCTCATTCTCACTTAACTCACTGAGAGTGACCTGCTCAGAATGAGGATCAGAGAATTCAGTCCTATTGTTGTAGGCTTGTGTGTTTGTTTTTCAAAATACCCTGGTAAGATGACAGTGCCTATGTTTACAACTAACAACTGATCTTTGTAGCAGTATGAACAATTACTTTTTTTCCTAAGGAGAAAAACAGAATACTGTTTACAAAAACATTTCAGAAAAAGGTCATCATGTTGCATCTCCAAAATATTTCTTGCTCTCATTAAGTAGTAAGCTGGTGCCCTTCTGTCTTACAAAGTTGCCCTGGCATGAGTGCGTGTCAGCAAAACTAGTATTTTTCTGAACAGTAGAAGAACTAAAATGTCAACTAAATTTTACGGAACAGGTAATTAACTTATGTCAGAAAAGGAGAATCTGAAAAGACAAATACAGTAAGATGAGGTTTGAAAATTACTCAGGGAAGCCATGTAGGTGGGACAAATGGAAAACACACTGAAGAGTATATCTTCGTTCATTTCCTTGCATATTTGCTTCTGAAGATGTTGAAAATGACCTAACACAATTCTCTTCTCTTCATTTTAACTTTAACAGAGAAATGACTTTTCATAGCAGGTTTATTTTAAGACTAATCTGATGGTGTTAACATCACATTATGCTTTTAAAAATACTTTTTGTTATTACAATCAAATTTAAAAGTAACAATGCAGTACTTTGGTAACTGATTTGCATTGTGCTACCATTAATTTCGGTGAAAAAGGGCCAGAACTTGTAGATAGTCCAGGCGTGGTTTTATCATTTTATGTTTTAGAGACACTAACTCAAAACATTCCAAAACATATTGTATGCTTTTTCATAACAAATATGTTTAATTATCGGCCCATGTGCAAAACCTGCGTCTTGGCACTCCTAAACAATTTGATTTTCCAAGGAAATGAGACTTACGTGACCAGAATAATTATATATGTCTTTGGACCTTCTGTCTGGTTGCAGTTGAATTCTACAAAGACGTCGATGTTAAAAAAGTCAAAATTCTTGGCTTCATGCTAGACATTTGAAAATAGAGAAAGGAGGAAGCTTCTCCAAGTAAACCAGTTGAAGAGGAAGTGAAGAATAGACAGAGGAGAGGCTTCTTTCAAAGTACCTATGGGAAGAACTGGTGTTTATTCAGTTACAGTGTGATTTAGCTGCCCATGCATGAGCATGTAGGAGCATATGCTTAGACACTTGGGCACACAACATCATCCCTTCAGCTTGGTCCTGCTCGGTCCCCATGTGTTGCCTGGTGTAGCTGAGAGGTGGCGTTGCTGCCCATGACAGGGAGGTTGGACTAGATGATCTCTAAGGTCCCTTCCAGCGTAGGCCATTCTGTGATTCTATGATTCTTCCTCCCTGGAAGGGCATAGGTGACGACTTTCCCTGCCTCCCATACGATGTGAATGTGCTCAGTTGGGTATGTGTGCGTTAGAATATGTGGGACTCACTGAGGTTGTATAGTGAGATTTTGTTTGCTTGTTTTGGTTTGTTTTGGGTTTGTTTTGATTTGGTTTTATGGTCACAATCATAAGAATGCCTTATTATGTTTAAAGATTGGCAGACCCCTAATGGGACTGTTTCCAATGATACCACTGCCTTGAATGGTATGAGTTCTTATTCTGGCATGTCATGGTAAAAGTGTGTGTTTATAGACAATAATAGTAGTTACTAATAATTATTAAGAGAACTATGGGAGTGCTGCACAGGTCTGTGAAGATATATGAACCAGGACTTCCTTTTACTTTAAAAACATCTGAGTTTCCCTACCATGCCATGTTGTTGATGAGGATGACTACAGGGATCTATATAATTTACTTATCACTGCCAATACTAGAGAAGTTGTTTGCATTACTCCAGTAAATTTTAGTAAATGTGACAGGCTTGATTTAGAGTTGCTTTTTCTTTCTTCCTCTTCTTTGGTAAATTCAGAAGCATGGGATGCTGACAGACTTCCTTCCTAAATAGTTTCTAGACAGAGCTAGGTGCAAAAGCAGTATTGGCATGCCTTTGGTTTTTTCTTAGCATGCAAGCTCCAACTACCCACTTCCCTGTTTTCCAGTGAAATTACTGTGTTCGCTTGTCCTTCAAAATAATTGGCTATTGGTCAGAAATCTTTAGGTATTTTACCCTTTAAAGTCTCACAACTACTAGAAATCTAACAGTTTTCCTTCTAATGTACTCACAAATTCGTTCCAAGTTTTCTGTCATCTTCCTGTTATTTACTTCAAGGTGGAGGCTTTTCTTTGTTTTGTAGGTTTGCATTCTTCTGGGATTGTTTTCTTTCTGTTGGTGAAATCTTAAATTCTATATATTTCTAACTTCCTTTTGGGGGAGATGGTTTAGCTTATCAGAAACAGAGCTAATCTTTCAAATTCTTTCAACTAATTATAACTGTCTTTTGGAAGTTTCAGGGAAAAATATGTAAAAAAAGGTAACTGAAGCAGAAGAGCAGAAAGGACTAAAAAATAAAATAAGTGTATGCATTTAAGGTTTGTGGCAGAGAAGTGAAAGATGGGAGAAAGGCTGTGTATGTATTGGATTTTTAAGAAAGTTTGGG